AAAAAAAAAAAAAAAAAAAAGGAGAAATGTTGGATCGATCCCCAATTCAGGGAATAAATAAAAAAATTGGGGTTCGATCTGTTCGCCATCCCCCACTTCACCTGGCATTATTAGGCAGTTTATAAAAGTTATCTACCTGCAATAAACGTTCCTTACCACTGGATCCCCGTCCATTATTCCCCACCACTTTAAGACAGTTTTTTTTTTTTTTTAATTCTTGATAAAAGTCGTCTGGCTTTTGGTACAAACATTTTTTACTATTACAATACTATCTTCCATACACATTATATTTATTGTCATTTATTACCATTTCCAACCATCCTCCCCCACCCACCAACCGTACAAAAAATTTTGATAAATCTATTAAAATGTTGTCCACTTTGTGGTAGTTGCATTTATTTCAAACGCATGCGCGTTGTGTAACCAAACGTCTGTCTACATTCGCATATGTGTTACAACAAGCGAACCATCTGAAGCAAACACTTAAAAATCTGCCTTTCAGAGGCGAGTGTGGCGGCGACGTTGGCGGATCCACACCTGACTTTGGCTTTCTTTCCGAGGTTCAAATTTGTCTCTGGTCTCTGCTTCTTGTCAATCTGAAATATGAGTACATGAAATAATACCTTTAATAAAAATTTTTAATCTGTTTTGTTCAGACGTCAATAAAAAATATAAAATATCATTTTCTACGAAATAAGTTTACAATGGAAAGAGAGGGTGAAATACCCTTAAATCTCCTTCCTTTCCACGTCTAATCGTTCTCCAGCCCCGGTATAGATCAAGCTTTCCATCGGTGTAATTGCGCTAAATAAGTTTTTCTTCATCCGACAAAAAGCAAAATTACCGTAAGCGAAGTGCTGTCAAATCCCTCGGGTAACGTTAAACACGAAGGCGCGCTATATAAGGAAGTCTTCCCTGAGAAGACCTTGGCTCATTAGTTACTCACCGTTGACGTGTGCGGGTCAAATTCAAATGCTGGTAGACGAACAAAAGGAGCTAATGAGATGTCTATTGTTTACTTCCACCAGCCTGGTGGCATGAGGTAACGTGCGAACCACCTACTTCAATCTCAAATTTACCGCCACAAATAAAGACAGTTTCCATTAGAGAAAGGAAATACAAATCTCAAAAATTCTTGCATTGTGATGAAGACAGAAAACAATTTTGAGGAATGCGCCCGCTGTTCACTGCTTTGGAGTAGCTGTAGCTCAAGCTGACTCGACTCTTAAAGAGTTCTACATCACACGACGGTTGATTGACAAATGGTTCAGTGGGATCTAAGGCTCCTTTTATAGCGCGCCTTCGTGTTTAAGTCTGTTTCGCCACGGAATTTGCATATTACAACCTGCGTTTTGCACGTGGCTCTCTGAACTGGCTTCGCAATTCTGAAAAAAGTGAAGCAATTTTTTCCGTAATGCTTACAAACATGAACAACAATTTCGGTGAATTTAGAGTCCTGGAGAACCACCTGGGGAGTTCTAGGACGTGAATTTGATTGACTCGTTCATTTTGTTCATTTCTAATTTAATAGTCAATGTCGACTTGCTAATTGCTTGAATTGCAATGACAAACAACAAACTAAAAAATAGGTGCCCTATAACTTGAATTTGAAGGAACAAAGTAGCGAAAACCGCGGAAGCTAACGTTCCAACATATTTCGTTACATCCAAACCTTGCAGTAACTTTGAACCTTAAAGCAGTTAAATTGTCATTTTCCTTAAGCGATAGGATCAACTTCTTCTCAAGTTTTAAGTCCAACCTTCACTGATTTGCTTTTCTTTTATGAAGATCTGGCTAAAAACAAAAACAAAAAAAACCTGCTGCTCCAAGCAGTTTCAAGAAGTGAAAATGATAAACGATCAAGCGCAAGTTGAGAGCATCTTGCCGTCAACTCCACGTCTAAATTGGCTTTTGTAAAATAAAACAAGATGTAGAGCTTTCTAACCTGTTATCAGTACATCGACATAGAAGCTTGAAACTTTCAATTCCGGTAGACATCATTATAAGATTCCACCATAACCGTAATCTTCAAATAAAATATTGTCTACCTGGAAGAGATAGTTTGGTAACAATTTATTTGTAAGTGTAAGCCTGATATTGTAAGTAATTTGTTTAGTATTATACACCAATACCGAAAAACATTAAACAAGAATAAAATAAGCAGAGCCAAAGTAAACTCCATGTCACTTCCCTAGTCAATTTTTTCACCCCCTTTCTCGCAAGGAAATAAATCGATTACACCTGTGATAGCAGATTACTTTGGCGCAAAAAATTGTGATGATATATCACGAACACTGCACAGTCATCTTGGCACTGCGTCACCAGGATAAAATTTACAGATAGCCAAGCAAGTGATGGATAGCCTCAGATCTTGTTGCCAACAACACTTCTTCATCACACAGCCAGAGGCCTTTACAACACGTTCTGCTCTAGAAAGCGCGGCCAGAATTCAAGTGTACAAAATCTACGCGTCCATAAAATCATACGCGTCCTTAAAATCATAGTACCTACTTTATCTTAATCAGAAGCTCTGCAATTCCTTAATTTAAGAACATTAGTTGAAAGACGTAGTGAACTTTGTGTTAAAATTCTTGAAAATAACTCAAGAGGAGGGCCACTTTTTAAACATCTCCCGAAAGAAAGAAAGCAAGTGCATCAGTATCAATTGAGGAACGCTAGCAATTTTTCAGTGACTAAATGCAGGACCGAAAGACTGCGCCGCAGCTTTTTCCCAAGGACTATTTTAGCCTTCAACAAATAATAGTTTCTTTTTATATATATTTGCATACCCACATAGTTAAATGTTAATTCTTAATTATTTGTATTTCTAAATTATATTGTATTTTTAAACCCATTGTAGCCCAGTCCCTATCCACGCATGTAATTTTATATATTTGTTAAATAATTGTAACCACATTGTAATTCAGATTTTCTGTGAAAATGTGAGAAATAAACTTATCTACCTACCTACCTACCATTTGGCGAAGTATATTCTATATTGTAACGCGCCCTCTTTTATTGAGAACCCCCTCTCCAACCCTAACCCACCCGAAAAAACCTCCAAAACCTCTGGGCGAAACCCTAACATTCCGTATAAGATCTAACCGTAGCATAGGAGCGGAGACAAATAACGACGTGTAAACCGTTACCTCATTCTCTTCCCCCCCCCAAACGTTCCTTACCA